TAGGGAAAGTAATTTCAGAAGTGATTTCTTGTCTACTAGTTAGCTGGGGCAGTGAAAAACCAAGTATGTTTCAGGAAGGTATTTTAATACAACAAGAAAAGAGACAACAGAAACTATGACAACAATCAGCAAAAATGAAGGTCTGAAAAAGTTAGTAAACTAGATACAGACATGTGTGGTGGTTTTTGTTGTCGCTGCTGCTGTTGTTCTTCCTGACTCCCTGTAAGACTTCTGTAATGCACCCAAGTATCTATTTTTTCTTTTCTAAAGTAAATGCTCGAAGACATATAAATTAAGAATAGTCAGCAATAAGATAAGCAATGACTGAAAAAGAGTATGTAATGCTCTCTTGTGCAGATCTAGAGAAATATAAAGCTGCCATTTTATGTTCACCTGAGTATGTAGTATCAATAACTAAGAGAAAGTAAACAGCTGAAAGTGAGTCAGCCCTCAGATACAGTGTAAAGTATCCTAACTGCTATGTCTAGTACATATCTGTAGAATAATATTGCTTGGGTAATCCCCAAGTAATTGGAATGCAAATTAGCAGAGGTCCCCCCCTGTGAATGACACTGCAAAAAGCATGCAGAACTGCCTGCTGTCCTAAAACAGGAATGCTTTTGGCAGTGGGGAAGGGGTTGTTTCACCTCCTGGTGCATAATAAACTCCTTTTTGTACCAGCATCTTTGTCTGGCCTGGGAACAAGCAAGAAAAAGACTGAGGGAGAAAAAAAGGAGGTTTAATTTAGTTATTACTAAGGTATTCAGGTAACTAGCTAAAACCGAAGCTGTTGCTTGTGACATCTGTTTTCTGACCTTCCTGTTTCACATCTAACATGGATTTTTGTCCCTCTGAAGAGCTTTCCCTGGTTCCTCGTAACTTGTTTTTATTTCTACAAAATTGCTTCTCCCTGACCTTGCTAAATACAGTCTTGCCTGGATTTTATCCATTCAGAACGCAGTTGCAAAAGATTACTTATCTGGCTGTGTCATTGGTTGAAGTCCTTTTTTTCTTTACTTGTCTCCAGATTAAAAATAAGGTCTGTATGTTTGTTTTAAGGGTTCTTCCCATCCTGCCATCTATTGTTCATGTTGCCCATCTGTCAGTCTCTCTTACGCAGGGGCTTTTGCTGCCAGTTTTTATCATCTTCTTACTACATTTTCAGAAGGATATCTCTTATCATATTTTTTCCCAGGCCTGAATGAAACCCTCTTGATACACAGAGGTCTCTCCTTTGCCTAATTTTGGTCTCTCCTTAGGTTTGTTTTTTTTTTTATGATTCTATAATAAGGTTGTTAGGTTCCTTGTGTGGTAAGATCACTGCCTGTCACAGTAAGCCTATGCTCTGGCTGTTCTCTGTAGTGCCGACTATCACTTCTGGTCATCACTCTCATTGTATATTGAAACTTATAATTTCTTAGATTGTAAAGTTTCTAGGCAGTATGGTAACGTGAGTAATAAAAGGCACCCTATATCTGTGAAGTTTTAGTTATGTTTAATATTCTGTTCAGGAGTTTTAGTAGCTGTTCTTCAGTTTAGGAAGCGTTTTGTTGATTTGGGTTTTGTGGTGGTTTTTTTTTTTTCCCCAGTGCTGGAGAACAGGACAGGAGAACCTAAATCACTTGTTTGTCCAGTAGCTTAATGTGATCCTTCTAGCATTGCCTCTTCTGGTTGTGGGCTCTTTTTCTAGGTGAGTGTTGTTTTTATTTTGTTGGGGTGTTGCACCCTTATTTCATGTAATCTTGCAAAATAAGAAATGATGTTTTTTCAGTTGTGTTACTTTTCCCACATTTCTGAGTAAAAATGATGGAAAGATTAGTCACTGACTTAGTAAGAAAAGTAGTAGAAGTGCAAATACTATTTTAATGTACCCGTGTACGTACTTCAGAATTTTTTTTTTGTTATTCACAAAATAGTAATTATTGTCACAACTTAGAGGGTTAGACTAGGAGTTCAAAATATACTGTCTTCTGTTTCATCAGCTAGTAAATACTTAACACTTTCCCTTTTCCCTATTTTCATTAAAAGATAATAATTTGGCCTTCTTCCCAATCTTGGCAAGACTTAAAGGTGATACAGAACCAAAAGAGCTTGGTGTATTACATAAGCAATATTCTGAGTTAATTTTCTTACTGTACTTCAAAACCACCTTGCTTTTTAAACTAGTCAAAAAGGGTAGGTTCCGCAAAGTCTTAATTATGACTTGTGCCCAGTCCCACAAACCTCTGCATAAAGGAATAAAATTTCCTTAAGAGTTTGATAAAGACACTTTGTTTTCCCCCTCATCTCCCTTTTCCTTTTTGAATTTATAGCCAATCCGTGTTTTTCTTTTTTAGTAGGTAGTGTAAGAACAAGAGAAAAATGGGAAAAGTGTTTACATGGCCTTATGAAAAGAAAATCTCCATATTTTGCAATGCAGCCAACATCAAATACTGAACTAGCTCTGTGAACTGTATATGGTTTTCTGTGTATCTACAGTAATAACCTATTAATTTTTCAGATATAGTCTTTAAACTTTTTTCAAAGTTAAATCGTCTTTACTTGCCCTTGGTTTTGATGTCATGTCTTGCAGTGTGAAATGGAAAGAGAACAATGCATTTAAAATGATAAAGTGTGGTTTGGGTTTGTTTTCCCCTCAAAACATTGGCTGCAAACTGCAGCTTCATTCTCTTAGTAAACTTAAGGGTATGTATATTTTCTGTTGTTTTGCCCCCTTGTAGAAGATATTCCTAAGTGTTACTAGTAAAAAATCTTCCTTACTCTTTAGAAACACTTGTTGTCCATACATTCAGCCTTGGTAGAAACTGTCTCCTTTCTGTCTCTAAATATTGAGAGTCGGCCCGTAGGCTATGTCTCCTGAAAGACAACCACCTTACCTCTTGCCCAGTGCAAGTTGAAACTGGTATTTGAAGGGATCTCGTGTTAGATGAAGACACTTGTGTTTCATTGTATGTTCTTCTGTTTTGTTTTAACAAAATATTAATTTTGGGTATTTCTTAGTTATATCTACAGAGGTATGAATCTACTCAAACATGGCATAACTGTTACTGAATTCTTGTGCGTATGTGTAAACCTGCTCACTAGGTGAATTATGGAAAGAAGAGAGAGTCTTCTATGCCTTTCTTTTTGGCTTATCATCTTATGTTGTTCTTAAGCATCTTTATTGCAAGTGTATCAATAAATAGATTTCCTCAAATAGCATTGGGCAGGAAGTATGATGAAGCTTTTAAAGTAATCTTTCCGTCTAAGAAAGATAGCGGGCAAATTACTCTGGTCTTCTACAGTATCACTTCTGGGAACTGCAGAGCTGAGTTTTGTTGAGAGCTGGCTAAAGAAATGCTTTAGAAGTTCATTGTTTTTCACTTAGAAAGAGTACAGGAATATTACTTGCTACATGTTTTTTTTTTCAGACATTTGAATTTGCAGCTGTTTATCAGCAGATTTTCTTTATTTTAGACTCGAGAGCCCCAGGTGACTGGATAAGACTTTCCTATAGGATATGTTTTTCTAGCAGAAATATAGTAAGCTGTGAAATGTTAAATTTTTGGAAAATACACAGGGTTTAAGTTTTTCTCCAAAATATATTTGTTTTACCAGTAGGAGTGTTTCAAAATAGGGTTTGTGTATGCTACAGTGTACAGTTAGCTTTTTCTTATAATTGTAAATAGTCAGTGTGTGTGTAGTAACAATAGTTTCTGAATTTGGTTAGGTTCTTCTAGACTCTGATAACACATCTTTCAAATTGGTTTAGATCATAGATAGTTATTAATTCTGCAGCTGTTGTTGTGGTACATAACTTGTCTGAGCAAAAGAATATCTGATTAAAAAATGAGCACCCAGTTGTAGGCTAAGGTTGTCACAGCTTAGTAGGTGCTGCAGTCTTTCTTTCCTCCTTAAGTGGCTTAATGTTAGGTAGGAGATCCAAAATCACTTTTTGTATTGTGACACATAGCTGTGGTACAAGAAAGATGATCAGAAAGCTTTTGGCTTAGGCTCTGCTCAAAAGCTCTAAAGAAGCAACTTAGAATTACTTGAAGATTAATGATTACTGTCTGGCATTTAGTCTTTGTCTACTTCAAAATACAGTACTCTATCATAGTTTGAAAGGATTTTTCATGCCAGAGAACACCTTAAAAGGTAGACCTACTAAAATATATACTCTTGCGTCTCTTTTCTCAAAAGGCTGTTGAAGATCACAGTTTTTTTGAGTTGCTGAAACCCAGCAGTCCCAATATGAGCACTGGCGTCGGGTATTCTGAAGTACTCATGGAGTCAAATAATATCATAAGTTTATTCATATGTGCTCTGACCAATGGTTTCTAGTTAAAGTGAATATTCAGTGGTTTTCTGTGACAAAACACTTTCAAAATAGCTGAAATGCTTTAATGCTTTAGTAAATAGTGCTGGGAGTGTTTTCACTTCCCTTTCATAAAGCTGTTTAAATAAATAAAACGTGGAGATTTTCTATGTCTGTCTTAGCACTACGATTTATTCAGCCCTATTTATTAAAACTTTAATCTCGTTTATTCTCCTTGAATTTTGGAAAGTATGGGTTGTTGCAGTGTATTTCAGACTGTAAATGCTCTGTTATACTTCTAAAGAGAAGATAGATATATAAGTGTACTCATTTAATATTTTATTTCTTTGTTTTCCAGTTTCTCAAACAGTTAGGTATACATCCTGACTGGCAATTTGTAGATGTTTATGGTATGGAACCAGAACTGCTTAGCATGGTGCCAAGACCTGTCTGTGCAGTGCTACTTCTCTTTCCAATAACAGAAAAGGTAAATGTTTATTTAGTAATCAACTAATCACTTTTGTTGTAAAATAAATGGGAATGAACAGTTTGAATCTTGTATTTTGGTGTCAGAACAGAATCACGATGACACTCAAACCTTATTCAAGAGACTTCTTAGTTAAAAACAATAACAAAATGCTTTCTTCAGAACCTTACATGTGTATCTCCAATTTCTTTTCGGGTTCGAGTGGGAAAAGCTAATGTAGAAGCACAGAGAAATATGCCTCACATCTTTCTATTATAGACAATTTAAGGCTTTTGTTTTTTTTAAATATACCCTCTGAAATGGGTCAGTTCTGCTACTTTTAGCAGAAAGCTACAATAGCATAAGCAAAATAAGAATTAGTGTGTAGGACTGTTGTTGCCTTTGTTGGCGTGGCGACCTGGTTCAGGAACGGCACGGCGACCAACCCCAGGCCGCTCGGGCCATCAGCTCGCAGACACCAATGTGGTGGACGGCAAATGGCGTTTATTGACGGGTAGCACGGTATTATATAGCTTAGGTTTACAGCGTCACTTCCGTCTGCTTACACCTATGGGCTAAACGCTACTGGTTATCAGGAGAGGAGGGGGGGGCCTACCTTTCCGTACAGCACGACATCTTCCGACCGCCAGGCCCTAACTATCCACAGACTGTATCAAGTGCAACTACTTTTTAAGTTTTCATACTGTTACACTGACCAAACTTCAATCCACTTTCAGTGCAGTCAGCGGTACCAATGTGGTTTTTGTGTTTTGGACAGATGGGGCATATTTCTAAGATGAAAGCGAATTCCCCTCCCTTCTTCCTTTATGTTAAACTTCAAAATACTGGATTTAGTTAAATCTTCAAGTCTGCTTATTTTGTGTAATTGTATGCTTCTACATAGAGAAGACATCGATCTTGCATAACACTCAAAGGAGATATGTAGGTTGAAACGTGTGATTCGTATTGATCTTTCAGTTTATAAAAATCTTGTAATTGTGTTAAGGTCAGAAAAAAGTTTGAGGTGAATCTACCCAAACATCTTCCATTTAATGTGTCTCTCAGAAAGATCACGTGGTTGATAAGGACAAAGCAGTTAGCTGTTAAAGCTGAACTGCTATAACAAAACTTGTTTAAATACAGAGAATAGTGAGTAGGTCAGTCCTCTTACTCATGAGGTCCCGTAAACCTTTGCATTCTCAGTTTCTCCAAAACAGCTATGCAGACAGTCCTTTTTGGGCTTGATTTCAGCCACCCTGATAGTTTTGAATTCAAGCAGACTCTTAACTGTCCTCGCCTGTCTTCAGGAAATTTCCTTTCTGTCACCTTTGCGGCATCGTTTTCTGTGTGCTGTAGTTTCTGTCTGGCTGCTCGAGCTACAGGTCTGAACTTCTGTGACTGTCACTTTTATTTTGCCTCCCTGCCTATGCAAACTTCTTTTCTTGGATCATGCTATGGGAGCATCATCCCATGGGAAAGAATATTCCTCTTGTTCGAGAAGGTGTATCTGATTTCATCCTGCAGAGGCATATGACAGATAGAACCAGAGAAACGGCATATGTTCCATTGCATCGATCAATCAAATTTGACCACCAGACAAATATCTGAGATTTTCTTCAGCATGTTAATCCTTCAGAAACATAAGGAACAAACCTGATCTTAGGCTTATTGTTCCGTTTAAAGGTTAATGACTTTCTTAGTCTCCATTGTAGATTCTAGACAGAGTGAATACTTTGAGCATGGTCCAATGAATGCATACCATGGGATAGCTCAGGTTAGGACGGTCCTCTTGAGACTAGCTGGTCAAACCCTTGCTCAAAATCATATTTTCAGTATTCTCAACATTTATATATTTATTTTTGTCATCGAGTTTATTTTGGTTGGCAGGGAGTGAATGGCATCCACATCGTTTACCTCCTGTAATCTGAACTCTTGTCTGGTTATGCTCTGTGAATTTTTTCCTCAATTAAGGCTATTTTTGTTAACTTGTAGATAAGTGACATCAAAGGTAGATAAGTGACAGGCAAAGGAGGAAGAAAGAACAGCGCTGTCTGGAACATTTGCAGTTTTCTTTCATGCTTTTTCTGTTTGAGATGAAAATCTTAAAATAATGAAAAAAAAACCCAACCAAATTAAAAACACCCCCCCCAAGAACCAATAAACTGCAACCAGCAAAAAAACCCCACAAAACCAACCCACTGTTTCACGATATAACAGATTTTAGTCAATTATGATCTCTACAGGTGCTTTCGATTGTTCAGTCAAACCGAATTCTTTAACGACAGAAAATAAACATTCACTTTATGAATATGGCTTTTGAAGGGCCTGTTTTGAGGCCATGAGTGCATTATATAAACTTTATTTTATATTCTTGTAAAAAATGAAACTTAAAAATGGAACTTGAAAGACTGCTTTGTGCTGATTAAACACCTGAAGTATTATCGTTTGCTTGATAGCACTTTCAGACCTCTTCCTTAAAAGCTTTTTCTTGGATTGAGGAGAGATGGCAGTAGGTGCTCAGATCAAGGAAATACTTTGAATGTTTTTGAAATTGTGTTAAATAACACATTTCAAAATGGTGTTTCAACTGTGACAGGTTTTTGGCTAGTGACAAGGCATTGGTTTAAGAAACAATACAGGGCTGTTCAGTGAGTAAGTTTACATATACTTGTCAGACCACAAGTTAAGCATTTCAAATTACAAGTTGAGTTTTGGCTTTTATTAGCTAGCTGTTGCTTTTTTTATGTTTTTTTTTTTTTTTTTGTTTTTTTTTTTTTTTTGGTTTGAATAATGTAGCCAGCCAGTATTTATTTGTACTATTTGTGAAATATCTGTTACTTTTCTTTTAGTATGAAACCTTCAGAACAGAAGAAGAAGAGAGGATAAAAGCGAAGGGGCAAGATGTCAAATCATCAGTGTATTTCATGAAGCAGACCATTAACAATGCTTGTGGGACAATTGGGCTAATTCATGCTATTGCAAACAACAGAGATAAAATGAACTTTGGTAAGCTTTGTTGGTTGATTGGGGTTTTTTGTTGACTTTTCCCTTGTTTTCCCTAACTCTGGGGAGGCATGGAAGGAAGGATACATTTTGTGCTATTTTCTCTGAATACAAGCATTCATAAAGGACGATCTCTATTCAAAGAGCATTTCTATCTGTAATTATAAAACCAGTATTTCATACTAATCCATGAACTAAAGCACTGGAAACAATGCAAACTGCAGCAGATGGCAGTTCCTCTTGCAGTCAGCCTTCAGTGTCCTAAAGATAGGATATAGTGGATATAAGTGCTCTGTAAGCTTTGAATGAAGTTGGAGTTAAAACATGACTCTGAAGTCTTTTATTGTTTGTTTTTAAGAAACGAATTCTTCACTGAAGAAGTTCCTGGAGGATTCATTATCTATGACTCCTGAAGAGAGGGCCAAATATCTAGAAACTTATGAAGTTAGTATCATGGGTTTTTTTTACTTTTATTTAAAATGGTATAAGAATTATTTGCATGAGCAGGTACTGTCCTTAGGACTTGATCCAGCGAAGCACTTAAAGAGTTTGATTTTTCATATTAGCCTGTGATCAGGCAGTTGCTACAAAGAAAACCCTGCTTTGGTAGTTTAAAGTATTCCTGCCTGCCCATAGCTTAGTTAGAAGAATGGATTTTATCAATGTTCCTCATCCATATTCATTCACTGGCTTAGTTTAAAATGACTTTGAAATGGAGGAGAAATGTGGACATAACCTTTTTGGTGGGTTCAGGATCCAGTTTAATGGTCAGTTTGAGCTGATCTGGGCCTATTCCTGAAAGGATGGTCTTTCTGCTGCCTGCTTTCATTTGTGGCACGTTTGGGGCACACAAAGAGCTGATTTGACTGAAATGTAATCTCCTTCCCTTACCACCCCGAAGAATTAGATGAGCTAGCTGATAGTATGGTTAGTCAGATCGTTGGCGCTGTTTGAAAGAATGCGGCAGAAACATCTGGCCAGTGGTGGAAGGGGAGAATGGTGCTGTTGCTCCTGACGGTAATGATGATCCTCTCTCAAAATGAAAATCTTGATGATTTCCAAGTCTGAGTTCATTTTAAGCTTATTGTGAAGCCCTCAGGAACAAGGGTGTTAACATGCAGCTAAGGGAAGTAGTGACAAACAGAAACAGTAGAAGTTCAATGACATTTTCTGTAGAAATGTTGGACAGAAGATGTCTAATCAGAGCTGCTATCTAAAGTATTTTGTCTGCTCGGGAAGCGATGTATAACAAAAATATTGCCTGTAGTGTTTTCTGTGTGTAGAAGTGCTATCGCACACTGTTAGGTATTTGATTTGAATTGACTGTGACGAAACTGAAATATTGGTCTTTGGACATCCTTGAAGTGGAGATTATTGTTAATTAATTTTTTGTTTATATATTACAAGCACTGTACGAAAATAGTTACATCTATGGCATTTGATAAAATGAAGAGCGTACAGTGATTCTTAAAACACTGAAAGTCTCTCATTTAAAGTCTGAATGAAGTCTGTTTTAATTTTAGGCTATTCGTGTCACTCATGAATCCAGTGCCCATGAAGGTCAGACTGAGGTATTAATTTCTTTAAAAAATCTTTGTTGATAACTACTTTGCATTGAATATAATTGAAATGATAACATTCATATGTTAAAGGTTTACAGGGAAATGGAGGTTGACCCTGCTTCGGCAGGGGGGTTGGACTAGATGACCCACAGAGGTCCCTTCCAACCCCTACCATTCTGTGATTCTGTTCCTTGGTTTGCAGTATTGTGTTGTTAGTCAAAAATTAGGGCACAAAATCAAGTGGCGTTGTTTGGGGGAAAACCAAACTTGAAGCTTGTTTGGGGTTCATGTGTTTTTTTTAAGCTTTTCTATAACATGGATGATCTTTTCAAATTTTTGTTTCAGAGTTAAACAGCCAGTAATAGTGTTTCTAATGAAAATTGAGGTTTTGATGTTGCAATTTTGTAGCTGAGACTAAGATACATAGTAATCATACAAGCAGAACAAATATTTTATGAGAGTCTGAAAGTTTTACTTCGGGAAAAGAAATAGTACAACACTTGGTTTCCAGTTGTGTATGTGCTGTTTGTGTACAAATACGAATCCAGACAAATTCTTACTAACATATATATTCAAGCTTTTATCTCTCAACAGATTGGGTGATATATATATAAAAAAATCAACCTCGAAACCAACAAAGAACTCGAAAATAAACATAAACTTAACATTCAACATTTTTCTGCTTCAGTTATACTAAGACAGTTTTCCATCTTTCCGCTTCAGATTTCAGTATCTCTTCCACAAAAAGAAAATTGATGAGACTGTTGCTAGCACTGCTTTGTTTGACAGAGAGAAACCCCCCTTTGTTTGGCTGTGACTCCAGTGGCTCCTTCGCTTTCTTTCTATTATTTTGAAGTACAGTAGGTGAGGTTTTGTTTCTTATTATGGCTTTTTTTTTGTCTTCCAAACAGTGCAGGCGAAAGCAAAGCAGTCCTTTCTGCTCACCCTTGCCCCACCATATGGAAATGAAATTTAAGAGAATTGTTTTAACTATTTCTGTTACAGATACTCAGCTTCCTTTGTGATATTTTCTTAAAAAAAACGCTCTTTCTTCTTATCTCTTTCTCTAAATTAATCAAGGTTATATGTTTCAAGAAGAATCATCAGAACAAATTCCTATATCTCTTCCTTTTCTAAGTGAGAAACTCCAAAAAATCTGGTCTGTTTTCTTTACAAATGAGTCCTTTCCTAGATATCCTTGGCAAGCTCAGTAAGAGAGAGGCTGTGGAGATTATTCCCACAAGTTGCTGAAGACCAAAGTTTTTCCTAAGATCCTTGTGAAAGAGAAAAGCTTCTTTAGTTGTTTTGATGTGCTCTAACATTCATCCAAGGAATGGTTTGTTTATGTGTTCTTCTGGCAGAAATTATGGAATGATTGGGAAAGAAAATGCAAGGGCTACACAGTTCCTGGGAGTCTTTGTAAAGATTCAGGAAGCATCTAAGTAATGATGGAATCTTCTAATAAGGGACAGTTAACTTCTTGAACTTCCCCAAATTAATTTGGTTCCTGATCAAGATAACCACCATACAAAGGATTAAGAATTGTGTGGAAAGATGAAGACTTTTTTTCATAATAAAGTTTTACAAGAATGTCTTAGCAACTATGTGTAAACACAAATACTGAATAGGTAGTTTCCTTGCCAAATATTTACTATTCCATTTTGCATAACTGAATCTGGAAGTAATTCAATATGGGTATTCCTTAGACTGGTAAAATAACTTTTTTCTGTCCTTCTGTTTCCAAAGTTGAAACAGTGTAATGGCTGAATACACGTCCTAGGACCATTTCTCAGGATAGTTTTAATCCATCAACCAAGGAGGGAAGAAATAAACAAGTTACCTTACAGGAAGATCTAATTGCCTGAAGATCCTTTCCTACCATAGTGTAGTTAAATTGGCAGCAAGGCCTCCCCTCTCATCTCTACAGGAGGAATTGCTTTGCTTTGCTTAACAAGAATTGTACTTCAAAATCTGAAACGGCAATATGCTGAGAAGTGTAATGGAGGGTTGGAGTGAGTTAATCTCCTAGTCTTTTTCCTTCCAACGGTACATTTTAAATGTTGCTGTATGCTTGTTCGTGTAGTGGTGGAGGGACTGATGAACAGCATGCCCTTGAAGATGCTAAACTTAGCATATGCAGGTCATACAAGGATGTTGACTTGTCCTGCAGGGTAAGTGGGTAATTTCTAGCGCCTTTGGAGCAAAAGAGAAGAGAACCTCATTCCTCCTGGATATCCATTATTGTTATAATTATTTTCCTGAGAACTTACGCTTTCTTTCAGAGCACTGGGAAGGAACATGTTTGCCTTCCTCTGACTTTGTAGGGTTTTTGTTCCCTCCCCCTTCCCCTGAACAGCAAGGGCATTTTGCATAGAAACCTTTCCTGTAAGTGGCTTGTATAGTTGCTAAACGACAGTAAGTGCTGTAGCTTTGCAGGCAAAAAGTCCTTTCCAGGTCTCCTACAGAATTAAAGATCAAGAAAACATGCAGTCGTGCTCTTTTAGGATGATTGACTTGGCTTGAGTGCTTCCTAAGAATAGCCTGCTCTATGGGTAGTTCTGTCCCTTAAATAGGCATTGCATTCCACTGTCCACTCAAATTCTTCTGAAGATGTTGCTTAAGCTCACCTGTGTTAGACAGAATTCCAGAAGTGGGATGTATGGCAGTCAGCCTTGCTAATTTGGTTAAGAAACTGTGTAACTGCTCTCAAGATGTTGTTCTTTCCCTCCCCCATCCAAAACACACCACCACATCGTAGATAAGTATTATGGGATAAAAGAAAAAATTTTTGGAATCTTGAGTTGTGGAAAGTTTAAAAATGGAGAAGAATACAGACAGGTTCTTTTCTGATAATATTTTTGTTTTTCTGGGTTCTGATCTCTCAGATCTTTGAGGATTCAGCCTTTAATCCTTCTAAATAAAGCCTTTATTCGTTGATCGCTCCTTGACAGGCTTGCTAAGCCATCTCAGTGGCTACTTAATTTTTACAATATGCAAGTAGATTTTTCTGCTTTTGTTTTTGTTCTATGTATGTGGGTATTTCAAGCCTTGAATTAAAGCAAGTCTGTCTAGAAATAAAAGGTTAGCAGTAATAGAGTAAAGCAATGCTGTCTAATATCTGTGTTTTTCATCTGCTCGTCCAGTGGGTAGGATTTGTCTGTGTTTTAGAATAATCTGTAATGAGATTATTTTTATTTTAATTTCTCATGTTTTTAAGAAAAGTTGTATTTGGGGAAAAAAAAAGGTATCTGACAAGATATTACTTGTATAACTTTAATATTATTGAACTGCTAGTTTCTACGTTCCAGGTAGTGATTGCTTGGGGGAGAAGAATTACATTCATCAGTTTGCTTCTGGGTTTTATAATTTAATGTGCTGTCTATTTAGATGAGGCATTAAGATGAATTGCTAAACAAAATGGATTGAAGCTGAGAGCTATAGTGTTGTGTTTTGATGGGTGCTTTAACAGGCTTCCCCAGTTTGATAGTTGTGATTAATTTGCCTAGTCTCAAAAGGACCAAAAAAAAAAAAAGGCTATGTTCCTAGCCATTTTGTATAACGTTTAGTATTGCATTTAAAACTTTAACAGGCCATCTATAGACTATTTTGGTGAGGCTTTTTTGTATTAAAATACATGAGGTTTTTAATGAAGTTTATGGAATTTTTATTAAATGACTTAAATATTTTCTTAAAAAAGAGAAGTTTTTTTGTTCTTTCAAAGAGACTAAATTTTAAGAACAGTTAAGTAGTTTTCATTCTGCTAATTCATTTCAGATTTGCAAATTAAAAGGTTTGTAAATTTGGGCTTATCCTTCAGGCCAGGTTTTGGACCAGGTTTGATTCAAATTCTGTGTTAAGACTCTTGGAGTCTATGGCTCCATGGGTCACCTTTTTTGCTACAATAAAGCAAATAAATAGATAAAGCAGTCTTATCTGTAAAAAAATGTAGGTCTGTTTATAGTTACTTTAGTAGCAAGCAGTAAGATCTGGGAACAATTCCACAGGAGAAGCGTGGTGTTGGTTTCAGGGGTTTCGAGGGTGGTTTCATTCTGGTCCCATGCTCCAGTACCATAATGAGGGCAATTAACGTAAGACTCTTCTAACAGTCTTTCAGTTAAACTTTATGCTGCTGAAGCTTACACTTTCTCAAGGGACAGGTATTTCGTATCCAAAGCTGCCAAAAAAAGGATCTAGGTCTTTACGATAAAGCTTCGTGGATCCAGCTCACTCTTTCTGTGTGATAGCTCCTGAAAGGCAGCTATTGCTGCAGCTAGAGCAGTTGCCAGCTACTCATGATCCTCTTTATTCTTTCATGAGTTTTCTGCTGAGCATATACTTATAACATCTAGGATCTCTGTAGATGTGGAAAATATAACCTGCTTCTTTGCAGAACTGCACACACTTTTAAGCTGGTCCTTATATGATTGCTTTGTGCTGAGCAGTGTTTGAGTTTTTCTGTTTATTTTGCATTTGATTTTTCTGTTCTTCTTGTTCTTCCCGTGTCTCCTTCAGCTGGATTCATGAACTGAAGAAACTCTGTAGTACCACATGTCTTAACGTTTCTGATACCCTCTTAATTAAAAAAAAAAAATCCCCAAAAAACCCACAGCCCTTCAAAAATGTTAAAAAGACAATACAGTTTGTGGATGATAGAGCATTCACATTATCTCTTTAATCTACAGTAATCATTGATGAAGAAGTTTATGGCAAAATCTGAGGGAGGAAAAGTAGCAATTAATAGCACTGATCAGGGTTAGGTTCATACCTAACTTTTTTGTATTACTGTCTTGGGTTGGTTTCTTTCAAAACAATCATAGTAACTATTTTCAAGTAACAGATCACAAAATTTGAGGGGAGTTTTTTTTGAAAACAGGAAAACTCTCACGTGAGAGAGACTTTCAGGTCTAGAGTCTTTTGCAGAGCAAACAGCCCTTTTGAATCTGGAGTTGGGGAAGAAACTTATTTTGTGTCCTACCTACTCATTTTCATTAATGATAACAAGTCACTAC